ATTTCATGAAAACCCTTTTGTTCATAATCATTGGGTAGCTCAGGGGATGGCAGATTGCAGCAAATCGGTCATAAGCCATCGCCCCCAGGAGAAAACATTCAGTCCCACCAAAAAGAAGAAGAAAATACATCTGTGCAAAACATTCTGCAAAAGTAATTAACGTTTTTTCAGTGGAGAGGACCACCAGCATTTCAGGCATAATGACTGCACTGAAACTCACATCCACCACAGACAGGTTCTGCAGGAACAGGTACATGGGAACGTGGAGGCTCTGTTCCAGGGAGATGATGACTATAATGATGGCATTTCCCATCAGAGTCCCAAGGTAAACAACCAAGAAAACCCCAAAGAGCTGCTCTTGGAGTTCAGGAAAGTTAGAAAAGCCCAAGAGGATGAATTCAACCACAGAGCTTTGATTTTGCCTTTTCATTTCAGTGGTGGAGAGTATATTATTTTTGTGGACATATGTATATAAGTTATGAAGTCACGGTCCAAAAGCTGAGAGTTTTAGTCTGAAATGATTGGCAGAAGATGTAATCGTGAGTTCATTTTGACAGATCTTCAAGTTGGAAAATCTTGAGAATAGCCAATATATTAGAATAGTGAATCTTTCAAATACAAATGAAATGAGGAATTTTGTCTCAGAAATATTCCTTTCAGTTTATGAAAAGCAAGTGTTCTCTGGCAGCTTTTTTGTTAGGTTGAAAATAAATCCCATTCTTAAAACATGTAATCCATTGTCCATGATATTCATGTATGCATTTCTGTTCTTTCCAATTGTATATTTACATGTGATTTTTCCAATAAAGTGTTTGAAATAAATAACAAAAAAAGACACAAGTTTATAACTATTAATTCAAAATTAAAACAAATTTTGATGAATATTTATTACAAATGCCAAAATTCAAAATACATTTCTCTTGCCTTGTTAAAAATGAAATACATGAGGGGAACCTGGGTGGCTCAGTCAGTTGAGTGTCTGACCCTTGGTTTTGGCTCAGGTCATGATCTCACAGTTCATGGGATTGAGCCCTGGGTCAGCCTCCACGCTGACAACCTGAAGCCTGCTTGGTAGTCTCTCTCTCCCTCTCTCTCTTCTCTCTGCCCTTCCTCTGCTCAAGCTCATTCTCTCTCTCTCTCTCTCTCTCTCTCTCAAGAATAAATAAACTTTAAAATTAAAAAATGAAATACATGAATAATATACCCAAACAAGCAGAGAAACACTCAAAAGGGATTGAATTTTAGATGCACTTATCTCAACTGAACATAAGTAAATTGTTTCAAGCATATTGATTTCTGGTTAGAATGGGACTAATTATATTGAAATACGTCTAAATGGGAAACTTTAGAGGTCACTTCTCCACCGTCCATCCTTGTGACCATAAAGTGGCTTTGGGGGCTATATAAAATTCCATTTTTAGTTATTCTGGTCCTGTGATTTAACCTCTCTTTCTCTCTCTCTTTCTCTCTCTCTCCCCCTCCCTCTCCCTCCTTCTCTCCCTCTCCCCCCACCACACACACACTATTAGCAAGTTCATTTAACCATTAACAATTTAATAAACACTGATTGCATATCTATCATGTGGGAGCCTGTGTACCCTCAAAGATACATTTGTGACATAAATTCAACAGAGAGGTCTTTCCTGGCTACACAACACAAAATAGCAGCCCCTATCCCCTACTCCAGCACCCTGTGACTCCCATCTCCCTGGTTTATATTTTGCCATAACACTCATCACCAGCTGAAATAACACATAGTATTTGGGCTTTTGCTTATTATCTAACTCCCCCTTCTGGCATGTAAGCTCCAGAAAGACAGAAACTTTGTTTTGTTCTATTCTTTCCTATGTTCTCAGTGCCCGGAACAGATAATGAATGATATAATAAATGCAACACCAACATTTGTTGAATATATCAAAGAATAAATATTAAAATTTAGAAACCTGGACTCTGCCTTCAAGGAATATAGTGTCTGAAGGAAAAATAAGTCAAGGGAATAGAGAGACCCTGCAGACCCTATAGGGGTCCTAACTCTGCTACTACCTCCAAGATGAGTCTTTGACTCTTCCTGGACTCAGGTTCACTCATGTGGTTTGCAGCAGGAAGGTAGCCCTGGACCTGACATGAGTGTTTCTCTGATTTGTTCACAGAAAACTGCATGCTTCTCCTCCATTCAGATGAGGACAGAGCTGAAGGGAAGGTAGAAAAGTGGGTGGGCACCTAGAAGGCATATATGCTGCCTGAGTCCTTTGGGCCCACCAGTCCCAGGCCCAGCTGACCATCTTCCTCCCAGGAAGCACCTCACTTCTCCCCCTTGTCCTGGGGCAGGAGAAGTGAGCACCTCTTGGCAGAGAAGGAACACCTCACTTCTCCCCCTTGTCCTCCCCAGTCACCCAGACCAATGTCCCCAGCATCCTATTTATTGTCAAGCCTACAGTGAGGTCTTTAAAATCTGGAGTCCCTCTGGCCTCAGCAAGTTCATTCCCCCCCGCCCCAACACTGCTTCCATTCATGGCCTCTTTTCTTTGCCTGCCCCTCTCCACCCTACCCCATCATTAAATAGTCTCCTAACTGGCTTCTCCACATTTTGTGACTTCTCTTCCAATCTATCCCTCCTACCTCTGACAAAATAATATCATCCTCCCTTCCAGTACCTTCAGAGTCTCCTCTCATTGGTAAAATAAAATGCTCACTTCTCAAGCTGGCATTTAAGGGAAACTAGATGGAAACAAGTGCTCTAGAAATTTTAAAAGGGAAAAAGTACTTTGGAATGGCAAGAGGAAGTAAACAACCATAATCACAGGATGTCATGGGTGGAAGGGCCAGGAAGTGGAAGGAGGAAGGCAGAAAGAGGCAGGCTGACTTGCTCGAATCAAAGGTACTCGATGACATCTCAGTACTAGAAGGAGGGCCTCCTGGCCTTGAAGGGGGTGCTTTGAAAATGAGCAGAATTTCACTGTGGGACAAGATGAAGCCAGAAGGATGGAAGGATAAGCAAGCTGAGGATATGTACTGTTTTCTTGACCTCATATCATTAAAACATTAACAGATAGTAGAAGGCAAGTTGATTTACAGAGTTTAACTCTGTATTGATAAATCAAATACCATATGTATTAACCTCAATAATTACATATTGGATATCAAAAAATCTCCTAAAATTAGTAGACTTTGCAGAAAAAAACCATATAAGTACCTTTTCTAGTAGATAAAAAATACATATATTAAACACCAAGTATATAAAACCAATAAGTTTTAAAATATGAAAATTTAGAGAATCTTGAAAGAAAAAGAAAGAAAGAAGAAAGAGAGAAGGAAGGAAGGAAGGAAGGAAGGAAGGAAGGAAGGAAAAGGGAGGAAAGAAAGGGAGGAAAGAAAGAAAAAAAGAAAAAGAAAGAGAAAAAGAAAAGAAAAAAAGGAGAGGAAAAAGGAAAAAAGGAACAAATGAACAAATGAACCTGAATTCTCCCTCCATCTTTTCCCCTTCACAAGAGTTACCCTAATGCTAATCTGACTGATTCAATGACATGTCCTTTCAACTCCACTGTTAACTTTCTGTATGACCCTGGGCAAAGCACTCCTTTCTCAGGATTTCATCTTTGTGCATGACTGGCCTTATTTCTGACCACCTCCAACCCCAGCTACATAGCTCTATGAATTGATGATTAGTGCAATAAAACTACTTAAAGCTCTAATTATTGCCCAAAGTTTTATGTGACTATGAAAGGCAGAGTAGTTGACATTCTCACCTGAGCACTGGTAAGCATCTCCAATTATCAGTGAGAAGAACTATAAATGGCAAACCCACTAACAAGTGCATAAACAGAATCTTCAGTTCCTTTCCTATGGACTGGTCTGACTTTCATCCCATTTAATCAGATGTTTCACCTCTTCAGTTAAAAAAAAAAAAAACCTCTCCCATAAATACAACTCAGTGATTGAATGCACTGATTTTATAATATTATATGGGCATTAAATGTTTGCCCTTTGAGAGCCCTTCTCTGGAGAACTTATACTCAATTTATATAGACTTTCCCCTATGGACATAAAAAGCTCAGCTATATAAACTTGAAACAACACTCCTTCAGAGCTCTATAGAGAAAAACATCTCTTCACTCCAGAGACCCAATTCCACCAGGACCTCCCCACCCCCCCATTAAAGAATGAAAGCAGAGGCTGAGTGAATGTTAGTAAACAGATTGAGGAAGAGAGGAAGGGATGGAGCTATGAACAAAGGCAGGGTTATCTAGACTGATTGCATAGGATGGACAATATCTGCAGTGATCGGAACACGTTAAGACAAGTAGGTTGAAGTTACTGTGTGGAAAGCCTGGATATCATTACCAAAATTTTAAATATATTTTCCAGTAGAAGTATGAAAACACTGAAATTGGGGGGTGGGGGGATAGTCATTCAGGTTACTTTATAGTTGGTGCTTTTTAACTTGAAGAGAAAACATCTAGACTAGCTGTATGACTGAGAAAATATGTAACTTCTCTGGCCCTATTACTTTTCTGCTGAAATTAAGATACTGTTATTAATCTCACAAGGTATATATAAGAACCTAGGGACTCAGAGTTCAGCCTACAGCAATGAGACCATTGGCTCAGTCTCAGCAAAATGTAGGGATGAATGAATCCTCAGGCTTGACTTTATCCTACACTCAGATGAGGTGAACAGACTCTGGGTTCCCTTTCTCTGTTTCTCATCTCTGCTTTCCTAGGGTAGGTTCCATTCTCAAGGAAGCTCTCCCTTCTGAGAGACAACAAGGCTGCCAATACAGAGATACATCCTCTCCAATCTGTGTCCCATGGGAAACATACCAGTTATTCTGTGGGGAAAGGCTTTCATTCACAAAAACGAATCCAAGAATCCCCCACCCCATATCATTCACTATAGTAGGATTACATGAGAGACCATGAACCAGACAATGTGACTAATGAGGGTGGAAAATGCTGCCAAATATGCACTTTATGGTCCCTACCCCATAGCTGAGGATAGCATCTACCCCAAGTGTGCACACCTGAAAAAGTTTAATGAAAAAATTCCCCAGGAGAAATAAAGGTATTGTTGGTAGAGGAAGGAGGCCAATGAGTAATGGTGAGCCAACACTCAAATGCCCCTATACATATGCAAAGACACACTGTCTCATTGCAATTATTGCATGAATACAAAGAAACCCAATCAATTCCATTTGTTGTTGGGGTTGTGTGTGTGTGTGTGTGTGTGTGTGTGTGTGCATGCACACACGTGTTTTGCAAGACAGGCTGGAAGGAAGTATAAATAGGATGGAATGGATGAGTAAAACAAGAAATATTGCAGAGGATGAATTGAGTGTCCTGAAGGACATGGATGTTGTGGGTAAAGAAGACAAGATTTCAAATCTTGATGAAGGAAGGATAGAAAATAACTAGAAACAGGGCAAGAGAAGTC